ATAATTAACTACAGAACATACTTCTGCACGCTAGTAAATAATTATGATCTGGAGAGATTTCTTTGTTTTATAATTTTTTAATGTACTCAACAAAAACGCTGGCAGTTTGCAGTAGTTTTCTAACCAAAGTGTAGGATTCTTCATAGTTTTAGATAACTTAGCAAAAAAGACAATTAATATATTCTCCGAGAACATACATTTTTTCACGTACAGTAAATCGATGAATAGTTTATAGTTTCCTTCACGTTTCTTCCGAGAATTCTGTGAAAGTAAATTTAATATAATAAAATGTAAAATTTTACTTTTTTAATAAAAACCCTAAATTAACCAAAACTTGCATATACCTTCTTATTAATTAAGTGTGCATTCGGGAATGCATTAGACATATTGAACTTGTAATTTTTAGTACTGTTTTTTGTAATTTATAGCTACTTTAAAATTTAGATCAATCAGTCTAATAATTTCTCAATTCAGGGCAAACAAACTATAATAAGATGATATTAATCGAAAACTTTGCGAAATAGGTATTTGAAAATATATAAGTTATTTCTAGGAAAATGATAAGTTCGTGACACTGGTGTGATTAGTTTTTTCTGCTACTGCTAGTTTTTGAGTTTAATGAAGTATTAAATTAACTATAAAATCATCGTTGCGCCTTCAAAATGCATACTTTCAGCAAAACCATGTAAGTGCAGATTCCATAAATGACGCGTAATCTGGTTCAAAATAGTCGTCTTATTTTCTACAGAACTGTAACTGTCCGCCGTAAAATTAAAAATAATTTGTAATTATTAAATAAAAAAGGCCATGAAACAGTTTTCTCCACTGAACAATTTAATAAAATTGAAATTTGAAAAAAATTTAAAAAGTTTATAAAAATTCATTAACATCAATTTATAATTTGCTAATGTTTTCAAATTCTCTTTAAAATATTATTTATTACCTATTGTTATTTAAAATGGTTGAAGTGAAGTTGATTGTTTATAAAGTAAGGTCCAAAAGTTGTTCATTAAAACAAAATTTCTGATTTGACAATTTGTTCATGCAGTATTGGTGTTAACTAATTGAACTTAACGCACAGATAAAAATCTTTGTATTTTATCAACCGTATTATTCTTAATTTTATTAATGCTTGGATCTGGTGTGCAGCCACACTCGTCCTTATATAAGCGGTTAGATAATGTAGTTTTTCTTTTTTTATCTGNAGATTCGTGTTCAGGAGGCCAAATTACTACGAAAAATATATGTCGCATAAAAAGTATACCCAATTTTTTTTGTGTGTGGCTGTGATTATTTGTTACATCAAAACCGTTAAATTTAAATTAATTTAAAATTTTAAACATTGAGCTTTAAATGTTTATAATTCTTCAAATATTTTAATCTGTAATATGAATCATTAGTATATTTTATATTATTATATCAATTTTACTAGTACAAGTAAATTGTAATAGTGCTCTGAGGATGTGGCAATACGGTGATGAAACAATAAGTAGAGATATTATCTTTTCTTTAAAATGTAATCTTATTTTGTCACTACTAACTTCAAATAATTAAAATCAAGATTGCTAGAAACATTCATAATTATACAAACATTTAAAAATTAACGGTGCTATTTTGTTTTACTTCGGTTTAGCAGCAAAAGCAAGTAAAACTGTACTTAACTTTAACTTTAATAACTTTTTCTCCACGTAAATTTGTGATATAAGTATTTTCAGTAATAATTGTTTATAACATGCTGAAATGAGAAAAATTACTACATAACATTTTTATTAATACGAATTTTATCAATGAAGTTGTATTTTGATGTCTATTATTTGCTATTTTTGTAACTTGCACCAAATTTGGAATAAAAAGTTACTTTTTCCGACCAACTTTAGTTATTCTCTTCATTTTTGTATATGTCAAGGTTGTTTCATATTTCGAAGGTATCTACTTTATATGAGTATAAAAAAGAAATCGGAACTCCACCCCTTTACAAGAAATGAAATTTAAATATAGTTCAATTCAAACTTCAACAAATATATAGCATTTTTTGATATTTTCATTACACCCACATGACGTGACAACACAATGAGTTACACACATCAATGATAGGTTATAGAAATATGACGTAAAAGGAATTACGTAATGTGAAATTAATGTCATTTTACGGTTTGGGAAGAAGTGTATACTTTTTATTTAATTTTTTTAATAGCAGCTCGAATCCAAAATTCGCAATATTTTCTATGTAAACTGTATTAATAAATGAAATTCTTCCTTTATGAAAAACTTTATGATGGAGATAAGATGTCAATATCGATTTATCATAAAAAATTTTGGTCAATTTTTTATTAAACGTTTGGGACAATAAAATATAGGATGTTTAAAAAACACGTAATATTATTCGAGGGGAGATGTTTCATGCAAAACGTTTCTATTAATATGAGTCCGTTTAATGTTAATATTCCTTAAATTATAACAGTTGTTGAATTTTTTCAACGATAAAGTAAGTAACAATATATCTTAAATCTCCTTGGAAGATCGATAAACAAATCTAAAAAAATATTACATTTAAATTTAAGTCAATTTGATTTTTAAGATTAAAATCAAAGCGGTTTTCGAAATGTTAACTATGTCATGTGTTGTAATATTTATTGTACTGGAGAAGAAAAATTATCTTTTTTTTGTTTTCTTTCCAGTTAGGCATAACTATTTTTTTTTAAATCAACTTATTGGCTGGTCCTTTTGCGCAAGAGGTTATACGTTAATTTTTTTTCTTTTTGTGGCAGAAATACTATTTAAATTGAAACAGTAATAAAAAATGTCACAAATAAATTACCTATAGTATTAGAAAAACCATATAAAAGAAAATATATGTAAATAAAAACGCAGGATAATTCAAAAATTAAAATCCATTTAAAACCTAAATAGCGTGTATATTTGTATAATTAAAATGAATAAATGCCAAAAAGAAAAAAATTACTATTTTATAGGTACAATACTATACTGTACTGCTACAGATGTCAGCAAGACTGCAAAGTTTATTAAATAGATGACACATAATTCGAAGGGGTGAAGGTCTAATATTATTGGAATTAGAATTGACCTACGGAAAGCAAATCGTTGGATATAAAAATCGAACAAATTTAAAAGTCAAGTGCAGTCAACAGTTATGTATATGCATATCTACATAATTTTAGATGGCCTTCGAAAGGATATATTGTAGCATAAGCTAAATTTGAGGTAGGCCAAAAACAAGATAAATATCACTCGTTTCATAATAATCAACAAATTTTGAAAAACGACAGTTGTCAACATAATCTCTATAAGATGGATATGGAGGTTTATTGTAAAGCTGTTCTTACGAAAGCAAAACATAACAATGTAAATGTATAACCACTATTAAAATTTTAAAAGTAAATCCAAAAATGTTCTTGAAATAATATACGAGTAGTTGAAATGAAATGTAATTTATTTCTAACACATTTTTATTTCGAAACACACTTTATTTCTTGCAAGATAAGTGAAACATTTTTTGTAGTATTCTTTAATGAGTGAGCTTATACATATATGAAGTAATTATATTTGTTAAGCAAAATATAAACTTATTCGTAGATTTTAACTTATCTCACTTATATGATACCAGAAACAAAAATGCATTAGTGACTGAAAATATAGTAAAATATAGTTATATTCAAAGAAATGTCCCATATTCATTACTTAAAATTTATAATAAATTACCTCTAGGTATAAGAAATTTACCGTGCAAAGATATTAGGGTAAAATTAAATAAAATTCTTAGATAAAGCATGTTATACTTCAAATGAATTTTTTGAAGATAATATATATTGATTTATTGTCATTATACTATGCATGTATGTATCAGTGCATTAATTGTGTTATTTTGTTTGTGTTTACTTATCAGCAATGTTAGTATTGGCGTGCACCTTGTTTTATATTTAATATTACTTCTTATATTTAAATATTTAACTTTTTACTATTTTTTACTATATATAATTGACGAGTTCTACACCCTAAGGGTATTTTGTATTTCTTATGCAAAGTGAACTAATAAATATTTTACTTACTTACTTACTTAATCGAGCTGCTTTTTTATTATATTCTGTCGACAGTACTGCTGTACTGACAACTTATTTCAATTCTATAGGACTAGGTAAGTGTTTATAGCTATCTGAAAAATGAGACAGTAACATAACATAACAAACATAACAAAAAAGAAATTAAAAATCGTTAAGAATTATATTAAATATCATTTGAAATACAGACTTCAAGAAACTGTGTAGTTTTGGACAAAAACAACAATTAACTGCCATATGATCAAAATATGTCCTACATTTTTTTTAATTAAGAAAATTTTTTTTTATAATTAGAAATTGTGTAGTTTAATGTGCATTTTAAACAAAATTTTTACATTTGCAACTAAATTATTGTCTTATAAGCCGTTTATTTTTTTAGGAAATAAATTCATCCGTGAATACAATTCCTTTAAAGCAGTTACATATCTTCATTTGATCCAGTTATTTAACGTTTTCCAAGGTTTATATAGTTTTTTTAAGTACATATTTTATTCTGTTTTTTGTCAAATACAAACGTCAACTGAATAAATACCGTTTGCTTTCAATAAATAAATTTCTACAAATAAATGGTTATTATTGTTTCTCAAATTTAATTTGGTTAAGTAGTATGCGTTCGTCCCCGAATGTGGACGAAATGTTCAAAAGTGAAGAATTTGAAACCATTAAAAAAAACAAAACATTCCACATTACATTAATAAAGACCACTGTAGGTATATATAGAAGTCTGATTTTTAATTGTATGCAAGGAAAAACTGAATAAATTTGAAATCCAATAAACATTGTTTGAATCTATTGTTAAAAATGGTGGAGGATCCGGTTATACATTTTTTGTGACAAACATTTTTTTAATTGTTACCATAGTTTAAGCAATTAGCAGCAATTTAAAATTATAAACCGCCTGAAATATATTGAAATACAACTTACAAGTCTGCTGATTTCACTGAAAGGAGCGGGAACTTCTTGATCCTGGTTCATGGCCCAATTCATCGAGTAGTAAAATCATACCATTATCACAAAATTAGCCATCGTGTGAGTACCACTAAATACTTTATCTCAGCAAATGATTGAGAGCTTAATTGACTGTGAAATCTGTGACTTTAGCGGAAAGCGGCGTTGAAAGGAAATATGATGTGCTCGCAAAGCTAAAATCTTGTACCTGCTGAAACTGAAAGAGCAATGGTGGGGTGTTGGGGCACGCCTCCGTGACTGAAACGCCCTTGCGAGATTCCACATGCATATAATAACTATTCAATCATTTAATGATTTTGAGTACGTCGTCAGAGTTGCTTCTGCTTGAGGCTTTAGAACTTTCAAGATGGTAAATGTTACATTATAAAGGTTTCAACAGTATATGTAGATATTAATAAAAAAAAGTTAACTTTTTGTATGTGAGTACCAAAAAAAATATATATTTTTATTAATATAAAAAATACATTCTCTTGTTAATAGTTAATTTTGGTAGTCCTAAAGAGGTTCTTAGAATATTGCTAAAAATATTCCTATTAATCAATTATTAATTAACATAATATTGTCGCTAAAGGCTAAAGGTTCATGTTAGATCGAGTGCGAATATATTTTTGCGAAATCGCAAAACTAGCGTTATTACGAAATTTCATTGTTTATCTAACAACGAAGAAAAATTTTAATGAGTTTTTACCAAATTTCCTTCCAGTCTATATTATCCTGCGGCATAAATTACAATATTAAAGATAAAGGTTTTCAATCATTAATGCTAATCTAGTGCATATGCATATTAGGTGAAAATAAATAAAATTAAATATGTTTCTTTATTTCAATTTTTCAAAAAAAAATATATCTTAACTACCTATTATTAAGATTATCAAATACAATTAAATATTATTGAAATTTTGCATAAATATTAGTTAGTACATATATGAAATAGATTACTGTTAATCTCTTTTAAAAATGCATTTATACATAAGTACATAAATTGCTAATTAATACTTGAAAAGCTTCCTATCCTAGTCCTACACACAGAAAATACTGTTGTAAAAATTCACACTATTGTTCCTAAAATCGTGACAGGAATAAATTGTATCAGACTTTCATACAATGTTGTTTGAATATTTAAGAATATCTATAATTTGTTGGTAATAATTTTACAACTGTACAAAAGAATCACATTGTAAATGTCAAATTTTCTCACAATTTTTTCCTGTCACGATTTTAGGAACAATTGTGTGAATTTTTACAACAGTATTTTCTGTGTGTAGTTTAAGTTGGCAAATGTATATTTATCGTGCTGTATATGAAAATATATATTTTTAAAATTTCTTTATAATATACAATAAAACTTTTCTAGTGATACTTATATATTTATAAAATATAGAATTCAATAGCTGGAACACGAAAATAAAAAGTGTTACTCTGTCGAATAATTTTGTTTATTTCGGGTCGAGGCGAAATCAAGACGGGTAACCAATGTAAACAGATAAATTGATGAAAACACAAATCTAGTACATGTTACATTTTCTTGCATCTATGTCATTATTTTTCTGTTAATCTGTTTATATTTAAGTTCTTTATATAGTAATTTAGTTATATCAATTTGAATGGCGCAAAATTTTTTTAACAATTGAATTATTTAAAATTGTAGTACTATTTATCCAAAGAAAAGATGTGTTTTTGGTTTATCTTCAACTTTGTTCAAAATTATAGCATTCATATTTTGATGATCTTCATCTCTACCTCTACCTCTATGACTTTTTGTCAGCTGAAAAGATATAGTTATTAGATTGTCGACGTTGATTAAATCTTCCTTGAGATTATTGCATAAGTTGAAGGCGGTTATTTCTAAACAGTAGTGCAAATTAGTCATTCCTTCTATTGAAAAATTCCATTTTAAAGCTTATCAGAATGATCGTTAAATTAATTTACCAAAAGTTTTGACAAGCCTTGTTATGTATTTATAAATCACTTGACTAAGTTAAATTAAATTTTGTAACTGTTTAAATTTAGAAGTACATCGAAAATGTGTGTGAGCACGAGGAGGACTGTTGTACTCTTTTTTAAAGTAATTGTTTGACTTTTTTTTTAGAAGGAATTAAAATAAATTGGAATATTTTGTGTAGATTTGTTTTTAAACACAATTTGTTGATTATATCGAAAACGGTTAGTCATCAAAATGAAACAATAGTACAGATTTTTTTTGCAGAAAATAGTATCGCTGTTGCGAAAAATGCCATTTTTTAATGACAGACATTAATAAGTCCTTCCCTCTAGCTACGCTTCTGATGTATCCATATCAATATGTTACAAACAATGAACATCTTACCAAATTCCATGTGAATTGAATACAATTTTCCAAAGTCATAAAAAATGTGATTCTTCAGGTGTACATTTGACTCCAGTATTTCGGAAATGAAACATTTTAGGACACATTTTATTACGAACTCTTTGTCTTATTGCTTGCTAGGTCTTGGTACTTCTGGATGTGAATTTTGTGAATCAGAAGTATTTTCAGTTGTGGGTTAACGTTGTACACCATTGTTTATATTAATTATTATAAGATTTTCCTGTATGTATGAATTAAAATAGATGTGTGAGCGTGTGAACTAAACTGACACTTTTAAAAGGCATAGCTGGTTTGAGGTAAGTTTACAGAGAGTTTCATTGGTTTTCTGTTTGATAGATACAAAAGTGAATGACTTAATACCAATATGCAAGATTTCGTATTATTTTCAACTAAGTTTCGAAACTGATCCGAGTTGATTTATATGCTATTGTCTAATATACTTCCTGTTTATAAATATAGTTAATTAAGTACAAGAGTTAGGTCTTGATTGTATGCAACAAATACATTTAATTTTGACTTTAATTAGAGTACGACGGGTTTAATGACATGACAAGACTGTAGAAGCAACCGATAAGACTGCCTGATGCGACTGTGCTCACTTGCCGCGGCTTTGGAGACGAAGTGGTACGGTTCTAGATTTTTCACTACGGCTTTTGTTGTCTTTTGATTATTGGGTAACTCTGATAGCCTCTTTTGAGTACTGTAATGATTTGGATTAATTTGATAATCAAATCCACAGAACCGTTCGATTTTATTAAGAGTTTTTGCATATAAAAGGACTGTATTCTCTTCCCTTTTACACCGTTTTCGATAAAAAGTAAAAGCATTATGAATTTCACTGCTAGAATTTTGTTCAATAGTTCTGCAAACGTTTCTACTTGTAGGGTATGCACTATGCTCATCTGCAATCTTATGTACAGTTCTTCCGAAGTCAGCTGAACATGCATAAAAAAAGCGAGCAATCAAATTTAATGAGTTTCATGGGCGTCCCTAAAAAAGTTTTCTGCCAAAGGTAGAAATTATAATAATTTGTATATAATGTGTAGAAAATTTCTATTATAATATGTTCATTTGACCAACAACATATTTTAATTATTTATGTCCTCAAACAATTTTATTATACATGATGGTAAATTTCGTTTTGTTCCGTTTCAAAAGGTCTCCAAAATGCCATGTCGTAATAATATTAGTAAACCAAATATCCCTCTTATTTTTCCCTTTATGTAATATGACCGTTTAATAGAAGGGTGCCTATAATAGATTAAAATTATCTGAATCACACCAAATTCCGCATTCCCGCACTGCACTGCTAGGCGAATGGACCACAGAAAAGAGTGCGCATTGCTCTTTGCACGCACGCTCATTCTTCAACTGAGCTTATACCTGCACTTTTCGTTCGACCAGATCCGTATGTGGGTATGGCTAAATAAATGTGGGAACAAGTTTTTCAAATATTTCAATACCGAGTTGCTGCTTAGCGACCGAGCCTGGTACATACCTTCAAGATATTGGTTCTTCAATTGACTTCGGAAAAATTATAGCAAGTATTTGTATGTGTGTTTTGGTGTGTATTTTTGTAGAAAATAAAATATTTTCATTGGATTTCTGGAGTGAATTTGGGAATTTGTGTGATAGAGTAACTCTGATGTATACCAATCAATACTAGTTTGTCCTCTCAACAGTAAGTATATCATATTTCCACCTCTTCTGCCCTGTATATTAAGTGTTTGACTTAAATAAATGTGTAAGGGAGAATGATAGTTCGACCTTCACCAAAAAATGAGAGATGATATATGCATATTTCACAGTATACGATGGTAAGAACAGTAAACTGGCACTACTTTTATTTCAGAAGTAATTAAACATCAGCGGAGCTATTTTAACTTGGCACTCTTTAAATGCATCCTATGAAGAATGTACCTGCAACTATAATAAGTTTAATTCTCAAAAGAGCTGTCATTCCCAGATTCACTCGTCTAACTAAACTCTTTCTAACTATATTAAAGTAATTGAAGGTTACTGTAATTTTTAATAATATTAAATGTAGGAAAATTGTCTCAGTCGTATATAATATTAAAAAGTTAATTTGTTACTACAAAAGTTTGTTTTCTCTAACAAGGATATATGATATTCACATAACATTCTACTCCCTTATATTTTTACTTTAGAAAAAAAATGGTATTGCAGAAATTATTTCGTGAAAACTGTTCTTTCAAAGCAATACTTGGATGTAGCATTTTGGATATATTTATTAAATCTGAGCTTCCTTAAGATTACAATGTTGTAGGCTTTAATAGGTCTATCTTTATTTGTAATAAGGAATATATGGCCGAAAGAGTATATTAACAATGAACTCTTTAGACTGTTTTTGATCATATCTCAGTTATTATAAGAGATCAAACCGAAAATAATGAGGTAGAATATTATGTGAATAATTCTGTAGATACAGTTTGTAGGTATATACTGGGTGTCCGGTACTTGATACAAAAAAGTCGAGTACAGATAGATGAGGTCAAAATAATATCAGTTCTTCATATACATTTTTTTCATACGGTCCTTCGTTAACAAGTTACGGGCCCTCAAAAGAGAAAATTAAATTAAAAAGTTATTTTTATTTGCAGTCTCTAAACCATTAACTTCAGCATGATGTAAATTTGGC